ATTAAACAAAATAATAAAAATTGTCAAGTGAAGATTTTGACTTTCATATATGAATATATTGCTAAAATATTTAATATATTTCATAAAATATTTTTATAATTTGAATAAATCTTGTTGGTAGAAAGAATAAAAAATAATTTCTCTTTCATATGTAATCATTTTTTGAGAGTTCTCCAAATTTGAAGAATTTCACCTTTTTCTCTTTTAATTTCTCATTTTAAAAAAGTTTTTGAAGAATCTGTTAAAAATAATCCGCTAAAATCTCTTTGTCTCAATTTTAGAGAAATTATTGGAGATATTGTAAGAGCATCTCCAACAGCTATGCTATTTTAAAACTTTTTAAAAATAGAAAAAAAAGGATTATAAAATATCTTCAAATTTAAATTAAATAAATAAAACATGTAAAATTAAAACTATCTTGATATATAATAAATGTAGTAGTTCAATAATTCATTACATTTGAAGTTGAAAGTTTGATGACATTTATTACACCATAATGGAAAGTTGAAACATTGAAAGTATTCACATGATGATCTCTTGAGCACAACAAACCAAATCCAAGAGAAATAAATTAGGGTTGAAATTATTTATTGTCGGTATATTTGACATATTTTAACGATCTGGGAAGTTTGTAGACACTGCTAACATTTGTTGTGATTGAGAAAATTGAGCAAATGCTCGTTTACTTTGTCGGGAAATTGTTCTGGAACAAAATGACAACCTTCGGGTAAGTATATGATTTCCAGGTTCGGTATGTAATCCTTGGTCCCACTCTTTATGTATTCCTCCATTCCCGGGATGTTGAAAGAGAAATCTCCTTTGCTTGTGATTAACAGTGCTGGAGCTTCAACTTTCAGTTCATCCACATCTTTGTCTGGATGTTCAATTTTCTCTAGTAATGACCTACGATGAATAATGCAGTTGAGGACCACATAAAAACAGTGGTGCAGAAAGACCAAAATAATTACATGAACCTCACTTTACTGTCGGGTTATTTCTAAATTATTGAAAAAAACTAACTGAAAAAGACCAACGTGAAATGAATTATTTGGGGACATGGTTACTGTAATTCAAGACTTTAAACTTAAAGAAATACTGAATAATCCGTAATTTCTATAAAATGAAATTTTGGTCATTGTTTCGACATTCTGTGAATTTATCATTGTTTCACATAAAAAGCAGTGAAATGCACATTTTTGTTTGTAGAGAGCATTTTAGTTGATATTTCAATTATTGTTTCATATTTATGCTCTTACGAAATTACTTGTGATGTTTCATGTTGAAAGTAGCTTTTCGTTTTACCACTTATCTCGAATGATTATCATAGAACTGAAAATGAAATAGGAGATCTATGTGACGATTTCATTTACATGTCAACATAATACATTTGCTAAATTACCTGTATGGAGTTTTGAGTGCTGTTACAAATCCAGATTTCTCGTACAAAGCACCATAGGTCTCAAGATCCTCCTCCGTGAACCAAGAGGGTAGAGGAGCCGATGCTTCCACCATATCTAATACCTCTTGGTTTTCACCAGCTATAGGTACCTCACTACTACAAAACAAAATGTAGATTTTCCTCACTATTGTTTTAGCATCAAATCGGCTAAATTCAGCTTCAGCTCTTCCAGGTTCCTAATAGAGATTTATGTTATATTGATTAAATTTACATTCGAGATTTAAAGAAGCAGAGATGTTTGAAAAAGAGTGTGTACCTGCCATCTTCTCATGTAGAAACCCTCAGGGAGGGTTTGGAGTCGCTGCATAGCATGAGGGGGTATATATGGCACACCAATTGTTATGATTCCTGCAACTTTCTCTGGATAAAAGAAGGAAAATACGTATCCAACCAGTGTTCCAAAATCTTTACCAATCACGAACACCTAAGAATCAATACAAACAAGGGTAATTTGGTTGGTATCCATAATTAGTACACATATTTTCAGTTCCCAAAAACACAATTATTTACCTTAGATATGGAGAGAGAAGCTAGGATGGTGGCAATATCTTTGACAAAATCATCAAATGATGTATTTTGGGGTTCCGCAGGAATGTCAGATAGTCCGTAACCTCTGTACTCTGGTGCAATAGCTCTGAAACCAGCATTTGCAACGGCAATCATCTGATAGCGCCATGTGTACCATATCTCGGGAAATCCGTGAAGGAAAAGCACCACAGGTGATGATTCCGACCCAAGTTCGGCTACGTGGAGCTTTAACCCATCGCCTTGGATGTAATTGTGCTTAATTTGATCCATTTTTCTTCGATGATGAGATTGGAAAATGAAAGACTTTTATAGCAAAGGTGATGGTTTGAGTTTTGGTTTTTGTGTTTGTGCTTTTATGTGGTGTTTTCAGGCCACAATTATTGTGAATTTTCAAGATATTTTTTTTTAATTTCAATAATTTAATTAACTTAATCATAAAACTCAAAATAATTAGTAAGACGTTATGAAAATATAATCTGATTTGTCAGTTGCCACATACACCTTCAAGCATTTCTTTAAGAGTAAATTACATTTTTAGTCTTTGCAGTTTGTTACAAATCGAGAAATTCATCTGTATTATTTCGAAGTAGTAATTTACCATCTTTATGATTTGCAATTTATTGTTATTTTCCTTCTTGAGGTAATTCCCATTTTTAAGTATGAGAGACTAAAGAACATCTTGTTTGATGGAATGGAAGGATTTGGAATTTTTGACATTTTTTTATTAACCTGGATATCCAACCCGTTATGCGAGCCGACTAATTGTAGGACTACCTCCTGTTTTGCGGGTAGCCCGGAGTCACCGCATTCGAACCTCCGTGGCCACAAGGGGATTTTTATTCCTCCTTGGATTTGAACCTGGGACCTCCAGACACTTTTGACTTTTGGAGCCCAAGCTCAAACCAATCAGGCACCACTCTTGTGGTTAATTTTTGACATTTTTGGTTTGTAGGATTTAGGATGTAATTGTTTTCCATTATTCATAAATAATTTATAAGAACAAATTATAAGTAATTATAGAAGTAAATTATATTATATTTTTATTAATTGATTTTTACAATACAAGTGTTTTTAATATATATATATATATATATATATATATACAAATCCTATAAAATCTTGTATGGGATTTCAAAATTATATGTTATGGATTTAAACGAAAAACCCGGGATTTAAAACCATGAAATTCTTCAAACCAAACATGTGATTGAAATTGAATTCAATTTTAAATCCCTCATAATTTAATGTAACCCCGCAAACCAAACGAGCCTAAAAAAACGAATTATAAACCATAAAAATAAATCAATAAATTATATAAATAAAAACAACAATAAATTAAAAACCATAAAAATAAAAATCGTAATTTTTAAAATGAATTAAATGCCATCAATTTTCAACAATTTTTAGGGACGAAAAATGTAATTTTAGATATCTGTAAACTTAATGCAAATTAATTTTATATTTATGGTATTGACTTACATAATTTTTAACTCCAATTCAATCTTATTTCTTTTAACGTGATAAATCCAATTAAAATTATTATTTTATAAAAAATATTATTTTTTAAATATATAAAATAGATTAAACAGACTATTACATATTTTAAAACATAATTATAATTATAGAAAACTTAACATACAATTGAAATTAAATAAAACAAGTTACAAAAATAAGTACAAAATTACATATTTCAAATATATAAATAACCGTAATTAATTATCTGGACCGGTATTTTGTCATATATGCTCAATCAAATAACTATTTAGAGCGTTGTGAGCTTCCCTATTGTGAAGTTGTTCCTTGTTAAACATATAACGAGATAGGTTTGAGATCCGTTCAGTAAAGAATTCAGTTGATTGACCATTATCTTCTGTAGTGGATTTGTGGGCATGTTGTTAAGAAACTCAATAGGATTAGAATAATTTTGGTGTGCATCTCTTTCATTTTTTCTGATAGTCTAAATGCCCGTTCAACATCTTTTCTGATAGTCTCTTGAACTTGAGCAAAGAACTTGTGCTTTCGTATTTCGTTAAGTTGTACAAAACGACCTTTCATTTGATTTATGTTAATGATGTCCTGTTCTTCTGCATTTCCTGCTTGAGTTTTTTGTCATTATATTCTTTCGCTCGTGACCAAAACGTTTATTTCTTCTGGTTTTTGCTTCGAGTAGGTTTTCTCTAACGTAGATCAATGCTGACAATAACACTATATCATCTTTGGTTTTTCTTTTATCGCCTCTTTAACTCTTTTGCGGTGTTTGGGCATTTTCAGGGATAGAAAACCTGATATCATAGATGAAAAACTCAGAGTTTTCATATAGTGTGTTTGGGTGATACTCAGAGTTATTCAGGATGTTGAGAATTTAATTTTCTTGGGAAGTTTGGATCTGTAGCAAAAAAATTGAAAGAAACTGAAAATTTTGGAATTTGGAAAATAATGAGAGTATTGAAATAAAGAGAAATATTTGTGTAATAAAAATATGTTAATATTAGGTTTAATTTATAGAAAAATTAAATCATGAAATTTGGTATATTTCTTTAATTTTTAATTTTTTTGTTAAGTTATTTTTTTATCGGATAAGATTTATGCCAGAAAATCTAACATTAACCAAGAGTGATGCGCCACGTGTAAAATAAAATGGGAAAAAAATTTTGTGGTTGATATTTTTTTGAGTAAATTACATTTTTAGTCCTTATGGTTTGTGGAAATTTTATATTTTTATCCTTCTCCTTATAATTTATTACCTTTTACATCTTTATAATTTAATTTTTATTGTTTTTTTGTTATATAGTTTTTGGTTTATTACTATTTTAGTCATTCATACTTAAAAGTAATGTTTCGAGTTTAGGGATTAAAATAGAAAAAAATTATAAGCCATAAGAATGAAAACCAAAATTTTAAAACCATCAAGACAAAATCCGTAATTTTCAACATATCACAGTAACAAAAAAAAAATGTAATTTACCCTTGTTTTTTTTAATCCCCTTTTGTCTTATTCACGATCCAACCAATGGGATCGCCGTTAGTAATGCGCCCACACCTTCTTTGCAGTTATTATAATATATCAATTTAACTTGAAATCGCACTAGTTATTTTGGCGACAATTGTATCGAGTCCTAACGACGTGTGGACATGTGTACGATGTTCTATGCCAGTAATTTTGGTTTGACATAGGACCCGAACTACAACGAATTATGAGCTTAATTAGTCAAACCATTCAAACTGACTAAACCAATTTTAGCCTCTTTGGAAGAAGGTTCGTTTTTTCCTTTCTGGTTTCATGTCCAAAAGACACTGAGAAACACTTTCCTATACAAACTGTAAAAAGGGATAAAAGTTGGTCACGGGATTTGAACATGTTTCCATCAATAACATCAAACTATCCGGTAACAATTATAGCATACTCAAAATCTTATAGTATATAATTTAACCTTTGATTGAATATTGATATCTACTGTTCGGTCTAGCCAAAATTGTTGTTCCTCGTTATAAGGCAGTAACCAAACCATATTACCTCGTTCGAATACTATCATGTTGGCCAAATTACCTCCATTTGACCATTGCATATTCAACCAAATCATGCACCCGTAGTTAACGACATGAAAAATGGTTACTTATATGATGTCATGAACATTGTACAACTTATGTTTTTTTCAGTACGTTTCATCAAAGTTAGTTTGTCTGTCCAAACAGGATTGGCAAGTTCAACGGGAATTCTATTTTGTGTTATCCCATCGAAAATTAGCAACGACAAACACTTGAGAAGCATTTTTGGGCTTCAGATACGCTTTTGAAACTTCTCTAAAGATTGGCCCATTCTTTTTTTTCCAAAAAGCTTCTATAAAAGGATGCACTAGTGATGTTTTCGAGTATTAACGACAGTTTTCAATCGTCTCTAAAAAGTACCTTGAGAGAAGGTTTTTGAAAACGCTTCTCTAAATGTATAAGCTTTAGTGACGCTTTATGTAAGCGTTCTCTCAAGGTATCCTTTAATTACAGTTTTATAAATCTTCTCTAAATGTTATCTTTAAATAAATATGATAAATATATTTTTTTTTTCTATTGAGATTTGTTTAGATTAAACTGTTTTACTGAATTAACACGAATGTCTTAATCAAACAATTGTTATTTGTTTTTGTACGAATTAAATAAACTATCTGAATGATGTAAATTATCTTTTAATCTTATTACTTATGAAACCAATCAAAATCAAAATAATTTATGTAAATTATTATTAAAATTATGCTTATAAAACTGCTTTTATAAGACGTCTAGATTGTCTAAACGTATCAACTACTAGAATATTTTATGTAACTTGGGTTTATAGGACCAAAAATGTTACAATAGTTTATAGGACGCTTTTAGACGTTTTAAGATGAATTGTTGTTTGATTTTTGTCCTGAATAACAAAAATTATTCGATTAACATAAGTGCCGAATGAAAACTTTATTGTTTGATAAACCTTCTAAGTAAAAGAAAAAAGTTGTATTAATTATAGAAAATTACATAAATAACATAAATACAACGACTTTATCAAACAACTAGAATGGTACAAGCACAATGCAGCGAGATACATCTTGATTTTATTGTTTCATTTTGTTTTTTGTCGCAATCGATGTTATAATACGGTTTTATGTGGTTTTAAGAAAGTGATAATGTTTTTATTTTTGAACAAAATATAAATATGAAGATATTATAAAAATATTGAAAAACATCACACCATATGAACATAGTGTTTACATTGTAAGACATAGATGCTGTTCACACGAACATAGGGCCGACATGTGAACATATATGAACATATGAACACTAGTGGTGTACCCGCACGATGCAGCGCGGGTGAATCACAATTCTGAGACATTAGTTTGACCTTTAATCATGAGTTTGTGTGATTATTTTGAGGACTTGTTGGGACTAAAGTATATTGAGGAAGAGAAGCTACACTTATTTAAATATAAATGTCTCATTTGGATCATTCATCTATTTTAGACAAATTTTACAGAACTGCAATAAAATCCTGTTTACAGTGTAAACAGCCCCAAACTGTTGTTTAGTTTTCATGATGCACTCATCTGTATATCCAAACTGATTGCCACTCTTGAAAACTAAAGAAATACCTTAATATGTTAGCTATCAGTTCATTAAATTTTTTGCATTTCCTATATCAGACCAAGGAAAATGGATTAATAAAAAAAAAGGTTAAAAAAGTACTATTATAAAAAGCAGAATTTGGTGCATCCATATGACCATATTGTTGGTTTTTCATATACTTATTAAGGATCTAATAGGAGTGCTTGCCGGTAAAATTAGTCAGAGTGTTGA